CTATTTAGGTTTGAGCCAAAATTGTTTGTATCGTAGCAGAAAATCGTCATATTTATAGTTAGGATGCCGTAGCCATAACGAAATCCCACAAGTATTTGGTAACTGGCAAAATGTTAACCCTGCACACAGGGGTTCGTTACAAATGCATGTCTGAAATACAGAACTGATATTGGTGCTGTCATAGCTTGACAAAGGGACAAGTCGGTCTTGGTAGGTTGCGACACGTTTAATACGTTGTGTAGAAAGTAAAACAATGATATCAAGTATCCAATCACAAGTGTTTGAAATTCTGACTGTAAATTGAGATAAAAAATCATATAAAAAATAAGGGTATTAATCTACTACCAAAAAAGTAGCATTACCCTTACGTTTTATATGATTTTTATCTCAATATTTACAGTAAGGATTTCAAATACCTCGGAACCATATGTACATTTTTTTCCTGTTCATGCTTCATAATTAATTTTGATAAATTTGAGAAGTGGATGCAAATTTCATATTCAGAACAGCATACAGTGATCAGCTAATTAAAACTAACCGCCTGAAATTAGCATAAAAATCAAGATTTAAATTTTCTACTTTTATTAGATGATGACATCAGATTCAATCAAGTATGCCTCAATCGAGGAAAATGTGCATAACCCTGGCCTGCCCATATGCATTTGTTGTAGATGTCATATTAAAACTTGTCTCATATAGGAGATGATAAATCTATAGCTATAGTTCATGGGAACAGTGGTTATTGAGTGATATTGGATGTCAATATCGTGGACCAATTATCAAACATATCTTTGATTTAAGTTAATTTGAAATACTTGTTTTAAGTCGTTATCATTTTTTTTCATGTGCATTATGTACAACATTTAGCAAATATTACTGAAATCTCAATGACATAATTGTTGTAGGTCTGGTTCGGTCAGCATGAAGTGTTATGAAGTGCCAGTTTGCCAACCTGATCACTGGTTTTTGACAGCAGACCGTCTACTTCCTTGATACCTGAACAACTCCTACAGTGAAGAGGCATTTCCTGAACAATGGAGGTAGTGCATATAAAAATGTATCATGTTTCACAATGTTTGAAACTGTTTATATGCTGGTATGTGTAAATTATTTTTAGGTCACCACCCGTCTGTAAACTTTAAGATATTTTCTTAAGAACCGGGGAATGAATCTTTTTTTAACTTGGTAAGCTTCATCATTGGTGTCCACTTGTCCTGAAGTCGAACAGCTCAGTGGATTTTGACTACATTTGGCCTGAAGTTAGAGTATCCTTGGTCAAAGGGGACCCAATTTTGTATAAACAGAGGGTGTGACCCTCCTGGGGGCAGAGAAGCGGGGTCCAATAGAAATATTGATAAGCGTTTAAATTATTCTCTTTCGATATGCTGAGAGACCGAGCCTATAGTTGCAGTACATGATGTATTTAATCAGAATATGTTCCTGTGATGTTTAAATATCCAGTTGAGGGATTCAGGCCCTCTAGGCCTCTTGTTTGTCTCTTTATTTTATTTTACATCTAATGGTAACTAGTGATGGGCCAATACTTGATAATATAACTCAAAATGTATCAGCTTGCCTTTTCAATTATTGATTACGGGTACAAATTCCATAATTTGATCTGTCCATTACTGAACTCAAGTGTCAAATGTAGATTGTAAGTCTGAGCTATTTATTTTGTTAAAGGCTTAACAAAAAAAAATCAGGTTGGCTTCCTGTTACATGTTAAAAGTGCTTCCTTGAAATTTTACCAAAATAATAGGTAGGCATAAAAAAATAGGATGGTTTCCTGTTACATGTCTGAACAAAAATAGGAATTAGGGTTGGGTACATGTAGTTAATGTTTTTTTCTTTTTTCACAACGCTTATGTAGGAAGTGATCCTGACTTTAACAGTGCTTCCTTGAAATTTGACAAAAAATAGAGGAGGCACAAATCATTAGGGAGGGTAACTGGAAACAAACAACATTTCTTGTTTGGCTCAATATTTATTATATGATTGATGTTATAGTTAATTATGTAAAATACTGAAGCAGGAAACCTAATGTATAGTTAACAACTCTGTCTATTGATTCAGTAATTAAGCACCATAAAATTATAGACTTCATAATTATGCAATCAGTTTACTACTTCCAGTAAACTGACCATCGGATATGCTTTTGAAACCAGATGCCTGTCACTTAGGTGACATTTAATACAAAGACATATTAAACACACTACAATTAAACTTCATGCTGATCAATAAAAGAATTTAATATTTTGTTTAGTTACCTAAATGGAATGTCAAGATTTATATGGATAACCCGTCATAGTTTTAACTTGTTATTTGAATTGTCCTCTTTATTCAGCGACATCCTCGAGACACAATAACAGAAGCTTTCTAAAGACATGCAAACCATGAGATGGAAACTTGCTTTGTAATTCACTACCAGTGACTGGCAGTCCTGAAACAGGTGGTTAGCTTAAGTATATTCAAAATGAGGTGTTATTATAATAAATTAGTCCTATTATCATAAACACAGTTTCGAAGTTCCATAGTGGGATCTGTATATATACTTAAAATATATGTTTCTTCTATGAAATGATGCTGATGTATTCAAGGTATATTATGTTTTATTGTAGGTTTAGTATGAACCAACTTTTAGTCAAATTTCAAAAATTGAATGGGTGACCTCGCAGAGTATATATTGCTATTCTCCCACAAAAGCATATCATACAGTTACAACTATCATATCTACAGTGTCTATGTCTGATTCATGACAATATTTTATTTTTATTTTTTCTCCAGAATGTCCAACTTTTCTTGGCAAATCCAGACCTACCATCAGGATGCAGTGTCATGTAAGACACTGCAAGAGCTTTGTCTTTCTGGGATTCCTAAGCCTTTGAATGGAGAAAACAAGACATTGCTGCATATATGACGATGAAAATACCATATTGTTGGACATTAATTAAAAAGAGCATTGACCAATGACATGTATACCGTGGCTAGTGATTGATAATTGTTGTGATTTTTCTGATTTGGCCATACAGTCAGAATGAAGGAAAGACAAATATCATGGTTCATGAACTTCAGATACACTTTTAAGCTCCTCTGGTACAAACTGTCATAATCTTATGGTATAGTGAAGTGTCTGTCATAAGTCTGTCTGTCAACTTTTTCTTTAAATTACTTTTTTAAATTGAAAATCACAGGGCCCTTATATTTGGTCAGCAAGTACTTGGGATAAATACTTTAAAGTTTCATCATGTAGATTACCTTGACCTTCTTTCAAGGTCACAGGTGTCCAAAACAGGCATCAGTTTCTTAAAAACTGGTCTTGAGTCATGATATTTCATGATGATTATATTTTATTCAGTATTCCTTTGCATTGCTTTGTTTAAAAAATATTTTTTTCAAATTGTTCCATCAAATATATGTACATGTATGTAGATATATGTAATGACAGCATACTTGTTGATAACTTTGTCGTAGCGATTGTTTTGTTAACTTTTATGCATATTGATATTTTTTTATGAAATTAAATCATTGTTTATCTTCATTTTTGTATGTTTGCCTCACAACAGAAACGTATACGTCTCTGCTCACAAGTAACATTTATTATTCCCAGCCCCTACTCAACGAAGTTTACAGAGGATGAATAAATGGATTCGGTCTCACCCTCCATTCCCATTAAGAAAAAGTGTTGGGTCCATTTCTGGGTACATCTAGGTAATACATGCATAATGATGGCATCAATGACACAGCTATAGGGACACTGATTAATGTGTGTAGATGCTGAATTTGACTTGCATTTTAGACTCCAGTGACTTCCTTCTACATTGTACATCAGTGCACATTTAGAAAAGTTGTGTAAGTCCATATCTCAGTAACAAAAAACTATTATATGGTTAATACTTAAATTAATGATGCAGGTAGGGTTGCTCTACTGAATGCATACATGCATGATGAGGATGCTTAAGCTGACCTTTCATTAAACACTTCAGTACCTTTCTTTTATTTTAAATATAAATGTAACAGGAAAGAGAATAGTGTGCTTCCACCGGGGATCGAACCCTTGATCTCCAGGTTCCTAGTTGGACGCTCTACCACTGAGCTAAAGGGAAATTCCCTCTAGCTCTAAGCTAGGAGGCGATCTTAATCCTAATGTACAATTGAACCCTGCCACACTACTCCAACCTTTTAAAATGTGTTCGCCCTCGGACACCACAACCTATGTTCTAACTCCCTGTCACTACAGGAAGGGCCACAGACACAATTTGTAACAAGAAAGAGAATAGTGTGCTTCCACCGGGGATCGAACCCTCGATCTCCAGGTTCCTAGTCGGACGCTCTACCACTGAGCTAAAGGAAAATTCGCTCTAGCTCAAAGCTAGAAGGCGACCTTAATCCTATGTACAATTGAACCCTGCCATATAAATAAACTTAACCTTAAAAGGGAATTGCATATCTTGGTAATTGTAAATGCTGCATAGATATTAACTTTAAAAAATGTTCAGTGTTACAAACTAAATATATTTGTCATTATATTAGAGCAATTACAGGTTATTTATTTGATTTGAATTATTCTGTTAGAAATATATAACCATTCACAATTGTATAATTTACCACAGAATTAAGTCTGTGAATTTACTAAATTTTGACATGGACATCTGCTATGGACTTGTCTATGAAGCAGTGGATATTGATGACAGCACGTTTTTGTTGGGTTTGAAAGTTTGTATGATTTTGTTTCAATTTAACATTCTTATCAAAAACTCCTGTTTCATTGGTATGGACAAAAACAGATAATGGTTTATTCTGATTGACTCTAAAAATAACTTGTTAGGTGAAGGAAGTTGGTTCATATTCTTCTTTCTTTGATCTATGGTAATCTTGCCTTAAAAGCCACTTAAAACTCTTCTCCAAACTTCAGCTAAAATGTATATAAGAATATGACATGCACAGTACAGGTGATAAAGAATTAATTGTAATTGGGGTGGTGGTGGGGTGAGATTGTCATAGGGGGTAAGAGATTGTTAATTAAGTTACTGCAACATTTAACCTACATACTTTTGCTTATTTTTTTTTCACTTTTGTTTTAAATGTGTGTATTGGAGTGGGGAAGAAAAGCTCTACGCTCTGTCAATATTAGACTCGCATTTAGTTTATGTGATTATTTTCTGGACTTGAGCAAGTCTAATTGTTCTTCTTGTGCAGGCCCTTAAAATGTTTCTCGCACTGTCCGAGTCTACATCAATATTGACGGCGTCATTAATATGTTCTTGAACATATATTTAATTTATGCAGTAATGAATATAAGAACCTTAAAAATACAATAGTCAAAACGTAAACAAATAACGACATTGCGTCCGTACGGTGATCCGGATGCGGTTGGGGAGCGGTCCGTGTATATTTAAGACGATCGCAGCGCAGCTTGTCGTCATAATGAGGAAACCTAACGTATTTCAACTGCTGGCTTACTCGTTTACTAGTTGACTAGCTAGCTATTTCTGAATTAAAACTTTGTTTCGAATTTCTGTTTTTACAAAAATGACGAAAGCTTCAGATCAACCGATAGAATGTACTGAGTATATAACATCACGTAAGTCTGGAATGGATTGAATACTACAAGCTAACACGAAATCGCGATCGGTAAAACTAGCATAGCATGGAATGAAAACTAGCATAGCATGGAATGAACACGCAATAGATTTGTAAACGAGTGCAACAACACAAATGTACATAGCATGGAAAAAGACACTTATCAACTAGGGAATTAATACAAATGAACATAGAATTAATACAAATGAACATAGAATTAGATTCAAAACCAGAAGTAACTAATTCTATAACTTATCAACTAGGGAAATAATACAAATGTACATAGAATAAGATTCCAAACCAGAAGTAACTAATTCTATAAAAAATAATTATGGCGGTGATCCCCTTCCATAATCCTCGACACTCGTCACTTTTGTTCTCTGCACAGAGCTAGTGAATGTGAACGACGTAACCCCTGCAGTGCTTCCTAAGTTTTTTTTACCTCTAGCCCATGCTCTATAGCTTATCTTCCCAGAGACGTTTATCACATCTCTGATCTCCCCTAGTTAGAAACCTTATACGTGTAGGATTTGTGGTATTCTTCTTCTAAATAGCTCAATATTCTACAGGCGGGATCAGTATATGTACGTTATAGCAGGGGCGGATCCAGGATTTCCTAAAAGGGGGGG